AATTATATAAATAATTATTATTTATAATTATTATATTATAATATAGTATATAGTTGTGCATATAAATAAATATTTTATAAATATATGTATATATATATTTAAACGAAAATTACATTGCTTAATATTGACTGATTATATGTTTGCTATTAGTTTTGTTTAACAAAACTTGGCTCACAATATGCTAAGATTTATACATGTAGATGTATAGAATATCTTTTTAGGATATCTGATTATAAATATTTTGAAAGCATGATGAATATGTGTCTTAAATATTCCAAAAAATAATTTAAACAAGCTATTGCTTGAAATTGTACAAGTTATTTAATTAATCTTTATATTAATGCAAATTTTTCGGGAAGGTTTGCTTTTATTTATATACCTTAATAAAACATCGAGATAGTCTATTTATAAAAATGCAGCGAAAGTAACAGCCTGATTGCATTATAATATTTCGAGATGTCAGTAGCATCACAATTAACGTACGGAAATATATCAGTATATTACACAAATTACGATGTCTTTTTTCGCAGCATAGTGTCAAAAAAACATGTAATACATCTAGTGTACAAAAACTACGAGAGAATTTTTAGAGTGAATTCAAGTCAAATGGAAAAAGATATCGTATGCAATATTAACGGTAAATATTTATGAATTATACTCACACATATATCTAACTGTAAAACGATCATCTGAATGTAATTTGATGATGTCCTCTTTAATCTAACCGAATATTACCGAATAGGAAATCGGATATTATATGAGAGACCGAATATTCTCGAGTATTTCATTGACAAACACAGCAAAATGATACTATTTAACATTATTATACTTCTCATAATTTGCAAATTATTTTTTATCGCCATATTTATTATATTAATTATTCTGCCAAAAAGATAATTTATTAGAACGTACAAATTAGAAATAGTAACATTTCTCGAACTTGCCGATGATATTGTTTAAAGAATTATTTAATGCATCTATCCCATGATGAGAATATTACAATTATTAGAGAGAAAAAGGGAGAGAGAAAGAGAGAAAGACAAATAAAAGTTTAATAAAGCAGATATTTATCGTGTTTTACAGATTATCGTGTTTAATCCTACCGATTTTCCGGATGTATGCAGCGGTGGTGTCACGGAAGTACTCGCGATGCCCCGCACTGAGACGTATATTGATGTGGACGCAACGTCCTTCTTCAGCACTGAGATTATCGAGTATTTTCCTGTGAATCAACGCAATTGTATTTTCTCGGAAGAGATGCGCACTAAGCACAGTGAAACAGTCTATACTTACAGTGACTGTATCGTCGACTGCAAGATTTACGACATGATAAAGCTTTGCAACTGCAGACTGTTCTTCTATCCACGTCGTGGCGAAAAAGATTGTCAGTAAGAATATATATCATCGATTTTCTTTGATTGTTGATACTGCCACTTTATCGTATCATAAAATTATCGTATTAATGTGGAAATGCAAACGTTTAGTAAAAATTATTTAAATAACATCAAAATTTGGCGTATTTAACGCTGTAATGAGTACTATTGTTTTTGAGCTACTTATATTTTATATATATACATATATATGCATGTATATATGTATATATGTGTATGTGTATACAGAGCGTAAAAATTTTTAATTAATTAATTAATTACTTATTATTTCTTTTTGTATAATTAAATAATGATAATAATAAATTGATGCAATATGTTTTCTTATATTGATTGTTCAATCTTCTAATATATGTTCATCTCTCTATAAGATCTTAAAATGCTTATCTTAATTAAAAATTATTTAATACATATATTAGTAATACTAATATGTATAATACACTTTTGGGAAATATAGAAATAAAATTTATATATGAGTAATACACAATCGGTATCATTTTCAAGATAAATAAATGCATTGTTTTGGAATAAAAATTCTTTCCATTTGCATTTGTATTAAACTTTGTTAAGAATTTTTGTTGCATGACATCTTTAAGTTGCTAAAGAAGAAATTATATGTATATATA